GATGATGTGGCAGTACATTTAGATGATAAGGAAAATCCCTGATCACAGCAGGAACATCTGGGTTTTTCTGGCAAGAGGGCAAGTTTCCCACCTTGTGCAGAAGCTTAAGTGGCTGTTTTGGTCCAGTCTCTTCTAATTTAAAAGAAGTGTAATTCCTTATGGTATTTTTCTTATATAATCTTTTAGATATAAAGTTGTGGCTTTAATAATTTTTTGCTGTTTGCAAATTTAGTACTTCTTAGGGCTTTCTATTGGTCTGTTGGTCTATTTCTACTAATATATTGGTCCTACTGCTAGATTTTTATAAGTCTCAAGAAAAAGATTTCATGTTTTGCTTTAAATTTACCAATATACAGAATTGAGACATTAATTTGATCATAGAATAAAATAGATTTAAAAGCCCATTCTCCAATTTATTATAAATTCAGTGTGAAAATATCAATGACTAACATTTTGGTTGGTTTATTTTTTTCTTTAGGTTATGGTATATAAGTTTTGCAAATTCATTCAAAAAATATTTTTGACTTTTATGTAGTTAGCTATAGTTTGGTCCATGGAAAATGTAGTCTTGCAGACATAGTTAAGAGTACCATAATTTTAAAATCATTTACACTGGAATAAATATTTTCAAATTGAAAATAGAACACACTGTATACATTTCATTTGAAAACAGTGACTGTTCATGCATATATTGTAGAAAATACAAGTAGAAACACATAGTTTGCTATTAGGTTCAAGTATGTGCTTACATCATTGAATATGAATCACAGCCTAATAGAACTATAAAGTGTTTGTACTTGATCCAGACTTCAGGCAGGATTTTGAGGAAGAACATTGCTGAAATGCCAGTAGCATGAGATGGTGCAGTCGACAAAATAGCAGATAATGTAGGGTAACAATTGGTAACATATTTTAGAAATTCTTCACTTACCTGGTGATGACTAAGGTGACTGACTGTAACTGGGCTTTTCATAAACACATTAATATATGAGTTTATTACTGACTTTACCATATCAACATTTTATTAGGAAAATCTTTTTATGAGGGATTATTTTTCTTACCATTTAAATGCTCAAAGCTGATTCTACTGATAGATCTTTTGATTTTTTTTTTAAACCCTTATCTGCTTTAATATGATTACTTTGTGGTAGCCTGCTGCATGAATTACATGTCATAATTGACATAAATGGAGAAATGCCACACTACTTTTTAGATGCAATTAGAAAGAATCATATTTTCCTCAGACATTGTATACTGTGGTACTGTAGGTGTGACATAAAATTGAAATAGGCATCTAACAGTAGTATGCTGCAGTTCATGGGGTCTCAGAGTTGAACACAACTTAGCGGCTGATGACAGCAATACGTCTTTTAGTATAAATTTAAAAGTAGAGTCTTTGTATTTCAGTGAAAGTGCATTTCCACTAAATTTTGTCATGGTACCTTTATTAATGCATTCCATTATCAATTTAATTTTTATTAAAAAATTTTTTTTCATTTTTATTTCTTGAGTTGTTTCTGGTGTTTTTCGAGATTATTTTATTAATTTCTTATTATGATTATTTGCTGAGCTGTGCCATGTGGGATCCTAGTTCCCCTACCAAAGATAGAACCTGTGCCCCCTGCAGTGGAAGCATGCAGCCCTAACCCCTGGACTTCCAGGAAGTCCCTCAATTTGATTTTTAAAACAACTGATAGAAATGTTCCTTTAAAATTATGGGATTCTGAAACCTCGTGAAAATAGGAAACATAATAAGTATTCCAGAAAAAGCCATCCATGTAGGTGTAGGCCACTGAGCTAAGTGCCAGAGTTTAAAGGTGCCTGGTGATCTTCTGCTCAGGCGTCACTGTGATCATGAAAATAGCCATTTTGAGAATTAACTAAATTATAAGTTAGAACTATAATTAGAAGTAAAATTGGAATATAGTGATAACAAAATGCATGACATTATTAGTTCTGGTGAGAACCAGGGAATGCCTCTTACAGAAAGCATCTTGGGAACTGGGTGTTGAAGAGTGGTGAGTGTTTTTACAGAAGAAGCATTACTGGGAGTCTAGACTCAGGAAGATCCTGATAGAGATGGGACGCCTGTGGCACTAAAGGTCCCCAGCTCAGCCTCGTGTTTGTTCCAGGTGTGATGTGACCTAGAGGGCATTGTAGAAGAATCCTCTGTGGCACGTTGTTGGAGAGGATGAGGATTGAGCAAGCCTCTGATTTGAGGGCTGCTGTAATTGTTCAGATGAGAGGCACATTGATTCTGTACGAGGGTGATGTCCAAAATGTAAGATTTTGGCCATGAACTCTGGATTCACAAGACGTAGCAACTGCGGGGATTAGGAGGGATGGAAAGAGGTGAAACAGATGATGCTGTTTTTCAGAAGGGTGCCAGAATTGATAGAGGAGTTGGGTTTCATTTTGATCTACTGATTTGGAGATATCTTTGGGACATCCTGTTGGAAATTTAGATCATGAATTCAGAAAAAATATTTAGTGTTGGTGACTTGTGTGTAGATATTTTCATGGGTTAGGTTTTGAAGGGCTTCCCAGGTGGCGCCAGTGGTAAAGAACATGCCTGCCAATGCAGGAGACTTAAGGACCATCCCTGGGTGGAGAAGATCCCCTGCAGGAGGGCATGGCAACCCACTCTAGTAATCTTGCCTGGAGAATCCCATGGACAGAGGAGCCTAGCGGGCTGAGGTCCATGGGTTTGCAAAGAATTAGATACGACTGAAGTGACTTAGTATGTGTGCAGATTTTGAAACTGCATACTTTTGGGCTTGTTCAGGGAGATGGTGGTGAGTGGTCCATAGTAAGAGTCCACAGGGGCCATTTAAAAGATGAGGAATCTCCATCATTATGAAGATTCAAAAGGAATCAAAAGTACCAGCAGCTTCTTGGATTCTAGATGTCAAGAAGAGTGTTTTGTAGCATCTTGTCTCATCATTTTAAAGATGTATTTTCCCCTTTGCAAGTGGTATTTCATCATGTTGCATACACCCTGTTCATTATCAACTTTTCACCTAATGGTTTTAGCATCCATTAATTATATTTGCCTGAATGAATGATTTCATTAGGAGTTGAAAATGGTGATTTTTTGAATTCTATTAATTATTCTATTACTATGTCTATTACTCTGCATGTTTCTGAAAGGACAAGCTTTCCTCCTTGACTATTGGTTACTTTGAAATACCGTTCCTACAGAAAAAGCAGGATATATGTATTTTTTTAATGCTGTCTGTTTGATTGTTCATTTTCAAAGTAGAGAGTTGGTATAATAATAATTTCTAATGGTGGGAAATGAATAGCAAAACCAGTTCCCTAGTCAATGGTAGGAGCCCAAGATCCTTGATGTAAAAATTGTGCTTCTGTTTCTCCACCCTTCCACCTTTCCTCTCTTCATGGATCTTTTAGTTTCTGTCATTAATAAGTTTATCTGCCTTTTATGACTTATTTGAATTTCTGGTCAGTAAGTTTAGGGACTACCACGTGAAGCATAGATTTGCTTTGTTCTGAAGTTATTATGCTCAAGGAAGGGCTCTCAATATTTTGAGATACAGTGAACTTTAGTGTCTTCATTTGCTTGATTCCTTTCTTTAGACTTTGTGTCTCTACTTTACTTTACCCTTTCCACGTTCTTATAAGCAAGGTTAGACCTTCATCGTGGGCCTGGAGCAGCAGTCTAATCTCACCAGCATTTTCCTTGTACTTGTGGTTGTGCCTCCTCACAACTTTGACCCATAGTAACCAGGAGGATACAGAGTTTTTCTAGTAAAAAGTAGTTGCTGCTAATGGTTAATTCTACTACTGTGTTTTTAATGTTCACTTTCTGTAATTTGGCTTTAAAAAGTTACAAAGTTTCACGCTACACTTTATACTGGCGGATATTTATAGATTAAATTTTTTTTCAGAAGTCACAATATTGGCATAGGTTCAGGATAACCAGTTCATTTTTTAAGTTTTATCCTCTGATGGAACAGAAAACAGTATCCTGGTCTATTCTAAGGTCTATACAATCAATCCTATTATATTACACTTTTTGTTTCTATGTGTGTGTTTGCTGCTAATGTGGTTTAAGTAATGAAGAATAAGAATCAATCATGTGTATGAAGATTTTTACAGCCAGACTACCCCCAACAAAGTTTTTAAGGAAAATATTTGGGTATTTAACGTGGGGCACTGATGCAAGTTAGCTGAAGTGAGGCTAACATTTTAAATTTGTTCTTTTAGAAGATACTTAGATTTAGCTATTGAACTGAAATGCTCAATTTTACTACCTTATCCTAGCCTTCTCATTTCTTTTCAGAACATTGAGATTAAGCCAAAGCAAGTTGTCATAAATTATTATTTGAAAGAAATACCTTGGCTGCTCTGGGGTATATTAAATAAATATTGATCAATCAAAGACATCTCATCTCAAGCATGTTGGGGTGAACAATCATGTGTCTATTATGTACCAGGTGTTGGGATAGGCTAATTTTTTTCTTCTCTTACTATTTGAGTTAATGTGTACAACTAGCTTGTGAAGGAGGTAACTGAAGAGCCCAGAGTCTTCAATCTCTTGCCCAAAGTCATGAAACTATGAGGATCTAAATAAAGAGCAAATTGGTAAATTATAGAAAACATCTCACAACATTATTCTAAGATTGGAAAGAAAAAGAAAAGAGAAATGCCGTGATTGAGTGATGATAAAAGTCCGGTATAGAAGTATTTTCCTGCAGAGGTTGACCGCAGAGGAGGGCGGAGTGTGCTGTTCTATCTACTGTGTGGTGTGTCTACCTGTGTGGCCAGAGCCATCACACTCCCTTTCCCAGGCAGGCGACTGCATTTCTGAGGTCTAACCTGCAGGAAATGACCTAGGTCAGCTCTTTGGTATAGACTTGGGGAAAACATTTTAAATATGTAGAATCATTTTTTTTCTGCTACTTTAGAAAAACCAGGTGTATCATTAATTTGCAAGGGCTGGTTTTTTACAAGATACCTTTTTGTTTCTTTTTGAATAGAAAGATGAAAACTACAGAAGCCTCCCACGGGACACTAGTAACTGGTCTAACCAATTTCAGAGAGACAATGCTCGCTCATCTCTGAGTGCCAGTCACCCAATGGTGGACAAGTGGCTGGAGAAGCAAGAACAGGTAACATAAACGCATCCTTCTACACGCATCGGTGGTATAACTTCCTGGCCCACCCCCTAGACGTTTCCCTCCATCACAGTGATGCTTGGAGATAAGTGGTTCTGCCCAACTGTAGTTAAATACCAGGCTCTGTATCTGAGTGTGTTTAACATAAATGTAGACTGTTTTAGTGGTGGTCCCTGATGAAAGATTTCTCCTAAGCAGTTGCTGTAGATTCTCAAGTATTACCACCATAGAGCTTTTTAGGTTGTGAGGCACAGATATTTGGTATGAATAATGCAGTTTATAAGTAGACTTTCAAGGCCACCCCTGGGGACTGCCCTGGCAGTCCAGTGGTTAATCACCCTCCAATGTAGGGGGTGTGGGTTCGACCCCTGGTTGGGGAGCTGAGATCCCACATGCCTCACAGCCAAAAAACCAAAACATAAAAAAACAGAAGCAATATTGTAACAAATTTAATAAAAACATTAAAAATGGCCTATATAAAAAGGGGGGGCGCTTAAAAAAATCACCCTTGGGTTCCCCTCTCAATTGAGAGGCAGTACAGTCGAAAGATCTGAAGGGACAAAATAAAAATTTCTGTTATCCCTGACTTCACTTTATGGGAGAAACGGACATTCTAGTGTTGTTTCAACAATTGTCAGGTCTGGGGACTTGCCCTTTCACAAAAGACCAGGACCTGTTGTAGGCATGTGTTATCCCAACTGCTTAGTTCACTCTGCAGGCTAGCCACCTCCAATTCATAAAATCAAAAATTGTTCACCACTCAGCATACATAATGGCTTCCTATCTTAGGAAGGGGACTGTTTGCAATTTGTGTGAAAACTAAGAGGTTATCTGTTAAGTTTTGATGTATAAAAAAGTTCTTGCAGTGTCATTGTTTTTAAAAAAGTGTTAATTGCTTATTGTTAGTCACAGTGGTTTCTCTATAGTTGGAACCCCAGTGTTTTCTCTGTAGTTTTAATAGTATTGATAATAAAAATCTGTGTATTTGGTTCCCTCATCACTTATTTTCTTTAAAAGGTTCGTATGGATCACAAACTAGGTGAGTACTCTGTGACAGAATGCTTTGTTGTGTATTTGTTTCAGTAATTTCTAAAATTATTGATAATGTGGTTGCCTAGATACTGGAATAAGCTGTTTTTCAATTTAGATTAATGATATCAGTGGAAGGAAACCCTATTCTACTGAATTCATCTCAGTTTCTTTTTTCAGTATAATCTCCTAAAATAGTGCTATGTATGTGGGGTGTTTGAACAACAAAAAATGACAGTTTGCCTTTGATACGTGCAATGGTATATGCTTTTTACCCTATAGTAAGGAGCATAAAACTGTGTGTGATGGAAAAGTTTTTAAATAATTTAAAAGCCATTGAAGTTCTAGTTGGAAGAACAAGTGATAAAAACAAGTGAAAAGCCAGTGGTAATGAAATAGTAATACCGATTAGATTGAAGTCCATGTTGTTTTGAGAAGATTATCACTTTGAAGTAAAGTTTTTTTTACTGTTTACTTTTTATTTGAAAAAAAAAAGTAGTACAATAAATCACAGAGATAGCACAAAGCGTTCTGATGCACACTGCACATGGCTTAGTGATATCAGCTAACGCAAATAACCACATTATCCAAAAGCGGAAACAGCACTACTAACTAAGCTGCTGTTTGGTTTCTACCAGTTTTTACTTGCATTGTTTTGATGTATGTGTGTTAGTCGCTCAGTCATGTCTTGCTGTTTGTGACCTCATGGACCATAGCCCACCTGGAGTGGGTTGCCATTTCCTTCTCCAGGGGTTTTGATGTATAGATTTATGAAAGAAATTTTTATTGGGGTGTAGTTGCTTTACAGTGTTAGTTTCTGCTGGACAGCAAAGTGAATCAGCTCTACGTATATATACATCCCCTCTTCTGTGGATTTCCTTCTCACGTAGGTCACCACACTGTGTTGGGTAGAGTTCCCTGTGCTATACAGTCAGCTCTCACTGAAGTAACTTTTTAAAATGAAGATGGTTTAGCTGGGCCTGGGATCAGACTGGCAGCTACCTGCTGTTCACCTTGTATGGTATTTGGGTGCTTGCTCGCCTTGTCTACCCCTCGGTTTATTCATGTAGCAGATGAGTTTGTCATCAAACCTGCCTCGTCAGTGATGTAATACCTGCTGAGGATTTAAGAGTCATGCCTGGTACCCAGAAAGACTCACTGTGTCTTAGTGTATTTGTTGGAAAGACATTGGGTGTGAATACAGAACATCTGGATTGTGTGATAAGGAAGCACTCCTTGCTCCCGTAGCAAGAAGTCTGGGGGAAGGGCAAAGGGGGCTTCATTTTTGGCCTGGTGGCCTCCTTCAAGGCCTGGGGTCCCCAGCTTTACTGGGAGTCTCCCGAGGTCTCCACTAGTCTTTTCCTGCCTGATTCAGACCATCAAATCCTTGTAGAGGAAGGGGGCCATTCCCTTCTCTTCACTGTGGCTCACTTGAAAGCAGATAAGCTTTTCCTGCCAGCTTGCCTCTTTCCTCACCCACCAGATGCCCTCCCTGTTTTGTTGTTCACAATCACATGACTTGCCTGCCCATTTCTAAATCAAAGGCAGTAAAGTACCTGTGTTGGTTTAGACTAATCAAACTTGACCTCCTGGAACTGGGGGTGGAAATGGGGGTTCACCTTTGCTGAAACACATTTGCTCTTCACTAAACACAACCCCACACACACACTCAAAATCAGGGCTCTGTTCAGGAAGAAGTTGCTGAATCGGATAGTTTTTTTTGTGTGCAAGATTCAGAGAAAAAAATTGGCAGCCCAGAGTTCCTAAAATATGATACATTTAATTATTCCCAAAATATAACTTTGTCTTACTATTGTGATTGTAGGCCTGTAAAGAAAGTAAAATAGTTTTTCTTTGTAATTTTGGAGTTTCTTTTTAAGCAAAAGGGATTCATTGAGAAGCCACACAAACGCCTCCCCCCACCCCAAATAAGCCTTGTTTTGCTTCTGTTGAAGTTATCTAAAGTATTTGTTCTATGATAAAAAAAGTTTTTTTAAAAAAGTACTTTTTTAGTCTATGTAGTCCACTGTAGACGACATTAGCTAATTGCTAATTGATTCCTGAGCCCACAACACCTTTTTCCTTAGCTTAAGAAATGATGATTCATTCATTAAATTTAGTGGTTTACCATCAGCTGGATAATTAACCAACCTGAAAACTACTTAACTAGATAGGAAGAGCAAAAATAAAATTCATATTAAAACTTTGGCTTAAAGTAAGCATGGTTGTTTGGACAGAAGAGGACAAATAAGTTATGCTGGATACACTGGAAATCTAGTCCAGCCATTCTCATTTAATTGTGGATTTATTCATTTAACTGTTCCCACGAGTCATCTGACTTTAATGACCTGATGCCTCATTTGTGGCTTTTTTTCCCCCCTCCTTAATTTTTGCCATTAAAAATAAAGTAAAGGCGTGGCATCAGGTAGATAAAAGAATGTTTCATGCGGTTTAAAAAAAAGTCAGCCCTTGCCTTTAGGATTTGAGATCACAAGGGTGGAACTGATATCTTCTCTTAGTTATGCCATCTGTCCTAAAGAGGTCAACAGAGTTCCAGATTTTATATGCCTGCAGTGGTTTTGTTTTTGCTCTATTTCCTACTAGAGTGCTTGCCTCTCATTATCTCTGTTTTTTGAAGGCAATTATGCCCACATCAGCCGTGCCAATGGGAATAAACAGTAGGGATGAAAAGGACAAAGGAGGGTGTGAGTGCTGAGCTAGCAGGCACCTCTGGAAGCTGAGGTGCTTTCCCTTTTGTGCAAGGACCCTACGTAAGTGGGCCACTTAATCTTCCTTCCCTCTGAGTGTTGCTAAGTTACACCTCTGTCACCAGAGGTAGGTGGTATACTGATCTCTGACCCAGGAAGCACTTGGAGTCAAACTTAACATGATTATGGAATCATGACTGACTCACTCTGCTCAGAATAGCTTGTAGCTGCATTCTACATCAAGATCATCTTAGAAGGTAGGACTGAGCATCCTTCAAAGGCAACCTTTTCTTACCTCAGTCATTTGACTTCCTTCTTCTGAGAGCACTCAGAGGAAGCACAGAGGATTTGAAGACTAAATCAGTTTTTGTTGTGTTGCCTTTAAAAAGTTCTCCTGGGACTTCCCTGGTGGTCCAGTAGCTAGGACTCTGAGGTTTCCCAACTCAGTTTCCAACTGAGCAGGGGGCATTAGTTGGAACCCTGGTGGGGGCACTAAGATCCCACATGCCATGCAGCCAAGTTTTATAAAAATAATAAAATTAGGTCTTAAATAAATAAAATGTAAAAAAAAAGTTCTCCTGCTTTAAAAATTTTGATTCTAAGATCTAAGTAACAAAAAACTCAACGAAGTCCTTAGTTTTGATGTGTGGCTATGTTTTAAGAAATCTGAATTTCTTTTTATTATTACACTTCCCTGACTCTGCATGGACTATAATATTGGCAGATAATAGATCATAAGCTGCCTTTGTTCTTATATCCCCATGGTTTATTGCAGCTAATAAATTCTGCAAAAGAGGAGGCAGGATCTTTACAATATGTGATTGGGAAAATTTGGGACCAGAACTGTAGAGGGAGCTTAAGGGAAATTTAAGCTAATTGGGAGCCTGCCATTTTCACTACCTTGTCTGGGTGAACAGGCCTGAAGCCAATTAACAGAAAGAGTGGTGAGGTGGAAGGCACATTCCAGCCACCACTTACACTGTCTTACAGGGGACGACTGCCCTGACCTTTAGAGAAAAGTCGATGCTTTAAGGTTTTTTCCATCAAGCAAAAACTTCATCTAATTGGCAGGTTATACTGAGGGAGGCAGACTCAGGGAAAGCCTTAAATGTGTGGTGATGGTGTGATTCCGGCTTGACATTGAATGTGCTGTCCCCTCCCCGCTGGAACCTATGAGGCTGTGAGTTTTAGAAGCACTGACCTGCCTTTTTCCTTCTTATTTTGTGTACTTCTGTCACTGTCTCCAGACGTGATGCT